GAGGATTTATACTTTGGGAAATGCTTATGTGATATACAAATATTGCCCAAGCTAAAATGGAAGTGAGTTGAACACACACACACTGAAGTGACTGTTGAGTAACATCACGCGGTATACAAGCCCTTGAGTAAAGCCCGAATAGGAGACAATGAATTCGGTGTCTGCCGGTGGACTGAGGAGTTAATTGTGGAACCAGTTAGAAAGAACTGCAGAGAATATAGACGGATACAGAGATATGCTGCTGAAGCTCTACGCTCCATTTGATGAAACACAAGGAAGACATAATAATAACTTGAATTTATCTCATACATACGTGACATGTATTTGTACAATACATTTCGAAAATTCCAACCACACATAGACGCACATATTTGTCATACATACTCATATAAAGAGTAACGAAGCATAAATAGTTTGCGATAAATGAAGGTGGGTCACATATAATCGATTTCAATAGCACCCTTAAAATAATATATAAAACACTGTTGCGTTATATACATTTATGTTCGTTAGAGCTCTCCCCACCCACTCCACGCCGATCAACAGCTGCTACTTCGACCCAACGAGTTACACAAGATGGAACTAATATTGCTCAAAGTTCTTCCATGCCACTAAGGTTGGTTGGATAGCAGACTCTCTTTATTACTAGAAAAGAGGATGGTACAATAGAAAGAAATGTATATAGAAAACCTACATCAACTGACTGTCAGTATACTCATTTTTTCAGCATCGTGCCTTTGAAATACAAACGCAATCTGATAAAGTGTTTGATCCACAGAACAAGAACAATCTGCTCGGATGAATGTTTTAATGAAGAACTTACTATTAATAAAAAGGTGCTGAGTGAGAGCGGTTATCCAGAATAGTTTATTGATAAGAATATGAATCAACCATCAATGCAGCCCTAGGTACCAATAATTACTTAAAAGGCCTTATTCTTACAAATTCAGTCCCTCGAAGATATGCGGCTAAATTGACCGCATAAAGCGCGCACACATTCCAAAAACATCTCAGAACATTATCCGGCATGGTTAGCAAAAAGACAATGCAAGACAGCTACTAGCTCAATTCTCGAGCATTTGGTGAACTCTAGCCACGTAACTACTCCACCAGAGTAGTCTTCAAGATCATCTACAAGGTGAGGCCAAATGGTACAAAGGGTTTCAGGTTCCGGCTTTTTTTGTATAGCGGAGGCGTTGGCAATTCGTCAATACAACCCGGAACTCTGTAAACAGAAAAGGTTTGTCCAGTCACTTATTCTATCATGGTGTTAACCTCCTCTATTCGTTTCTCTGTAAAAGAAATCTATTTTTTTCTCTTTTCAATTTTACTTTTAATTTAACAATTAATTCACTATTATCACTTTCATATGTTCCTTTTGTACATTTTCACACCCTCTTCACACTTGTTGAATTGACACTCAACTATCACCTTTATTCTCACTCAATCCCGACCGAAAGCTGCTACCTTGACGTGGTGGTCGGGCTTGAACACTGCAATGACCCAACAAGCTATACTGGCTGGAACTTATGTTCCTGCAGGTCCTACCATGCCAGGAAGGTTGTTCGGATAGCGGTTAGACTAAAAGCAGTTACCCAACCCAATCCTATGACTTCAAATAAACCACAAAATATCATGCCAGATCGGTCGGGGCCCGGATTAACAACGACCGCGCTTTCTGCTGCCGTGTCACAGGGCAGAAGTGATAAATACGCTACTGAGACACACCAAATAAAAAACAACAAGCAAAAACAGGCCGTGTGTGACCGGCCTCAAGCAGTTGTCCCCTGGGCTCTGCGGTCACGCAACCAACTTCCACGGTGTGGGCAGCCGGGAAGTAACAATCGCCCTCACAACCCGAAGAGCACACGAAACCTCTCTATTCCTCACTCTCACTCAATAACATTTTTAACCTTATCAGATTTCTATCTTTGTTTCGTTGAGTACCACGTAATTTACAACTTTTATTTTTTACTTCTAAAGCCACTTCTGAGTAATTATATCAATTATGTCACCCCCTAGTACTCAATAATAGACAGTTTTGGCAAATATAAATACGACTGTACAACCTCTGAAGATGATCTTGTCGATAAAGAAGCATTTTCTTCGCTGAATTCATCTTTCATTTTTTCTTCATAACTCTCAATGGGTAGTATTTTCGGTGATTTGAAACCCCAGTAGTATATATAAGCATCATTCAGTATGTAGTAGCAGTTATAGTCTATGAGAATAAAACAAGAAACTTTGAAAACAAAAACATAACAGTGTGCAAAATATCATTAATTCCACTCCTCGACTGACTGACTGCTTACCTTGTTCTAAACGAGACATGGTAAAGTCTATGAGGTATACTGTGCAACCGCATTTCGGAACACTGATCGCCTGATCATTCAGACGAAATTGTACGTATTTATTATTATTATTAATGTGCAATTCTTTGTCATCAGCGTCTTCTTGTTCTTCTTCATTAATGACATGTCTCTTATTTTCCTTATCAGATCCTTCTTCTTGTTCCACTCCATCCATATTGTCCAGATAAGAACAATATTTGCAAGAATTTCTTGAGGATGTACACAAGGAGATGGAGCGGGAGGAGGAGGAGGAGGCGGAAGAAGAAGAGGATAACAACGTCGACGACATTGTCGACTTATTTGCAAGAGGGAATATATAATTTTCATTGAGCAAAACATTCCCCCAATGTAGGTCTCTGTGCTCGAACTTTAATTCTCGTTCTGCTACTGCTAGAGAAAATCCCACTTGCAGCAGAAGGGAGACTCTGGCACAGGGACAGGGGGGCTATTATAGAAAAGAAAGAACAGAAATAAAAAGTATACAAACGGAATTAGGTATATATATATATATATATATATAGTGCTTCAGTGGCACAGCGGTTAGGACGTTAGCCGATCATGCACATGGTCCGGAGTTCCATCCCTAGCCACTGACGCATTCCTTTACCTCGCTAAGTCAGTAGTAAGACTGTCTGTCTGTCTGTTTTCGAAATAGAACATTGCACAGTAGTAAGACTGGTAAAGAGGGAAGGTTGAGCATGAGGTCAGAGCAACCCCATCTCGTAAAAACAAACACCACTGCTACCGAAACTTCAAGCCTCTAACTTGAAGCCCTATGTTCCACTGGGAACGTAAAGGAATAAAAAATACGTATATGTATAATAATTTCTCCAAAACTAAGCCTGACTGATGACTCCGTGTGAACGGCCAGTAACGGCATTAGGTGCATTGGGTAGACTCCGGTCTTACTTTCGAAATACTCTCATCATATGGCGACAACCGTTCACAGCCTCTGTCAGATAAGTCATATTTATTACTACGCCTTTACAACGCAGGGATGTTCCTCACAAAACTGAAAGGGTGAATTCGAAAGTTTTGTTGGCGCTTAGAACCGAACTGGTGGACATCCAGGTCTACATCTAGGGAAACTGGGAAATCCTCATTCGAAACCTATGGTGTATGTGGGCTGTGGAATCCGATTGGATGGATAATGGGTGATATGTGAACCTATGTGAGTCACCAGAAAGCATGGGAATGTAGCTACTGACACTTCTCCCGTGCCTTGTAGATCAGAATGCTCACGTCAAAGGCCGGTGGAAAGGGTGGCTCCTTAAGACAACTATCTCCACTTCGATCTGAGCATCAGGGCAGACTATGAGATTTTGTGAGACGCATCTCTTGATGTCGTTAATGCGCCAAATTTGTTTTCGTTATAATAATATGCTTTCAGGTAGTAAGCCATATGAAGAGAAAAAGTTGGGCATGAGGCTAACAACCCCCTTCCTCTCAAATCCCGCTAAAAACACCAGCTGTTATTGACATTTCATATTTTAAAGTCTTTAGCTATATGTTGTACTCGAAACGCAAAGGAGGGGAAAAACATGTTAAACCTGTAAGAATCTTTATCGTCAGACGTAACTCTCTCTCTCTGTTGAGCTCACACAATTGTTGAGAACAAACATTACTACTCAACAACCGCTTGTAGTATTCTATGCAGTTGGTAGTGAGCCACACATCGACTGCGGAAGGGTTAGGGATACATACCTCTCGGTCGCTCAAACGTCGTTGGACGGGAAGGGACTTCAATTCTTAATCCAACGGTTGAAGAAGTCGAGTGTGTAGACCACAAATCAGAGTTCCACAGAACATAAATTATGCACACAAACCTCAAAAACCCCGAGAAGAAATTAATGGAGTGCTTCCATCAGTTGAAACTGCAAACCAGTAGAAAATGATTTTCAAGGATTAGTCTATAGGAGGATTGACCGCGGGTTAATATCAGTTAGAGAAGCAGTGGAAATCATCAGGGAGTACTGGTTTGCAACTCTTTTACCGGAACGCACCCACAGTACGAAGTTTGAACCCAGGACCTTAAGGCTACTAAACAAGCTCGTAGACCATCCAGCCATTAGGACGAGTCACCTCAATGGCCAGTCAACCCATGAATTCTAACTTCTAGCAGTTTGCGGTATATACAGCACAACCGCCAGTCAATGCCATAGGAGAGCGTTTGTCCTCACTCCCGACTTGGTGGTGGTCCCGACTGGTCACGCTTTTTACCAGACATCCAGACAATCTCGTCCTGTAGCCTGTTACCAGCGAGCATCAGATTCACCGTCGGTATGTTAGTGAATCTTACTTCAAAAAGTGCAGCAATTCAAGAGAAAATCCATGATGAGGTATAATTCTATACATACTAGACATGCTGGCAACTGATGATAAAGTATGTAGCACTATAGGAAGTTATTTATCGAGTAACATTCAAAACACAATTGTAAGTTAGATCTCAATCGCCTGGTACTGGGCTATAAGTCACACTTATTTTGTGGGGACCTATACTGCAGTAGTAGTAGGTGGAGTGGGATTCTCGAGCCCAGGACCCATTGATCCCCCCCCCAACTCAATTCTAGGCCAGTGAACATTGATCAACAAGGAGGACAGTGGCTTGGGATGTGCAACACATGTCCTTACGTATCTAAATCAATGCGTAGCTTTACAACCACACAGAGACTGACTTTCCTTCCTTATCTAACACTCTTTCCCTAACCTAAATACTCTTCACACTATTATATCACTTTACACACGGATAATAGAGAGCAAACTTCTGCGACCAAAAAGAACTAGCCCTATATTCAGGTATTCCAATTCGAATGGTCTAATATCTTACAGTCACAAATAAAGGAGATAGTGAGCTTCTGGGCAGTGCACACGTCAAAAGACTGGCGGCTATCGCCAGCCAGAGATCACGTGTACGCTAGGAATACTTTATGTTAGAAAAGTGCCATACGAGCCTTTTGTATCCATGCTGTTATATTATCAGCAATCATATCATTAGGGTCGATACATACTTTATAAGTATATAGAATAATTTTTTTTTATTTTGATTTACAGCTTGATTCCACACCGTATTTTCAGTACAAGTATGGAATTTTCAGCATGGATATCGGTTGCCCAAATTCAGGCATTCCATAGATATCGGGTGTGCGCCGGCAGGGGATCGAACCCCGGACCATGTGCATGGTCGGCGAGAGTCCTAACCACTGTGCCACCGACGCAGTAATGTGGTGAGAGCTGTTTGCTAGCCAAAATAGATAGACAGCAATTGACGTCAATCTTTACGTCCTAAATCGGGGTCATGAGCAAGGACAAGAACAAAGCCTAACTTTGAGGAACTCAACAACCAATCACAGACTAAGCGTGGGCGGGTACGATTAGCAGATATATCAACGGACTGTCTAAGAAACGGCCACAAAGAGGTGACAGAATAACCTTCAGCAGGAAAACAACCAATCAGAAGACGTTGCTTCTCTGCTAACGACAACGCTAATAATAATGTACATAAAAATCTATAAATAACTGTTGATTTTCTCAATAAACGATCTGTTGCCTGGCCCTTTTCTTCTGTCGTTACAGTAAGAGTATAATACTTCACTAATTATTCAAGTGTTGGTTTGTAGGGATTTGGTCGATTAATTACAGGATTTCATTATGAGCTGACATTGGTTAGAGAACCATTGGAAAACCTGGGAGTACTGGACACCTGTTTCGCCCTAGTTTCGGACTCTTCATCCGTACGCACACACCGCCGGGGTTCAAACCCAGAACCTTCTGGTTACAAGGCGAGCTAGCTCGTAGACCATTAAGCCACTGGGACTTGATCCAATGGCCTGCCTATGAATTCTAACTTCTGCCAAATCACGACAAAGCGCACCCGCTAGCCAATATCTTCGGCAAGTATTTGTCCTCACACCCAACCTGCTGCATCCTACTGGTCACAACTTCTCACTAGAACTCCTGAATAGGGCAATTCGCTAGTGAGCATCTCATCGATAGTCAAGTGTTGGTTTGTAGGGATTTGATTGTTTACAGCGGTCCAGTACTCCCAGATTTTTCAATGGTTCTCTAACCAATGTCAGTTCATGATGAAATCCTGTAACTTCACTAATTAGATGGGCACAGCATAGTTATCTTCTTTCAACTACTTTTTAGAAAAGGTAACTGTAATATTTCCTTCAGACATAAATCACAATGTAATCGGATACAATCGATAGAAAACAATTAGTACAAACACATTCACAGAAATCTACAATCGGTCTTTATGCACACCACAAAACTTACAATATTATCCTCAAGGGGTACACCACAAAAGGAAGATTCTAAAACCACCCATAATTGATCTTTGGGAAAGATTTCTGAAGTAAAATAGCAAGAAAGATAAAAATATTAATATTAAATAGTGAAATACGGCATATTAAAAGTGAATTAATAAGCTTCTAAAATGTATTCATATTTGGATTCACTGGCTGAATGAATATACTAGACTAAAAAGGCGTTTCGCACTTTTGATTCCCTACCGACGTACAGACAATGTTGGACATGAAGCTATCGACCTTATCGATCACACCTACTGAAAACTTCACAACAGTTTGAAGCCCTAACGATCCACTACCAGCGATAACACAAAGAATAACCAGAGTGGTCTAGGAGATAACGCGCCTTTGTGTTTGAAACAATGAGTGCAAGGTTCAAGTCCCGGTGGGAGAATTATCATCACCAGTATCTTTGGGCATTGCAGGTTTATCCAGCTGATGTCATGTGCAGTAACAGTCTGGATTCCACTATTCGTCACTACCTAGCAAATACTAAGTAGAACAGTTTTAAAAATATTCTCAACTATTATTTGGCTATACAGTGATATTGTTAACTAATTAACAAATGAAGCACGCCACATTTTAGCGCTGGATGTCTGGAAGTTATGGATGGCTAAGGGAACCACAAAACTAGGTACATTTACTCAAAGATATCTATGAACATAGAAGCTTTTTCTAGGTATATATCATCCCATTGATTGGAATCAACACAGAACTTTGCACCGATGTGCAGCAGTTCGAGTCGCCACACACCTTCTCCTTGTAACACACAAAGCAAGGGAAGAAAGTAAAAGAAATGTAAAATACAGACAGTGAAAAGAGATATGAGACAAAAAGAATATTAATAACGAAGAACAATAGAGTTTGATTGGGTATGACAAGTCACAAGGAGTGGATGCATCTGCGCTAGCCACTGAGAATCATTTTGAGCCACATCACCAATTATCTCCAGACTTCATTGGTTTTTATCATCGCGAAGACCCCAACCAGTCAGGAAGTCTACACCTTCCTACGTAACTGGCTCGCTTTAACTAACTGTTGTAGATTTCACTAACTGGTGCCATGTTTTGGTTTGACCGCCACTAGCTCTTTTCCAACCTGACCCTATGTCAGCTAACTATACCCGTCGAAGAAGGCGATGGCTAGGTAGGTATGCGTAACACATGTCCTAACCATCTCAATCGGTGTAACTCCACAGTCTCTTCGATTGATTTCGTCTCCTTACCCAGCACTCGACGCCTAACCTCAATACCATCACAACTCCCATATATATATATATATATATATATAATCGATTAGTAAACAAATGAAAATCATAAAAGCACAGTAGACATTTATCTATTTTTCAGCAGGACATAACGCCAACCTCCTAAGAGAGGGTTCACAACTGGATGCTATCAGGTTACGCAGCGTGCAACTTATCACTCGTGTATCTAGGCATCGGAACACGTTATTCACTGTTCCATGGTCTATCATTCAACTTCACTAACTTCCTAATCACTAGTAGGCAACAATGAGGCTTTGAGACTTTCAAAGTCCAAGCTGTATTATACTTCAACTACACGACACGACGTCAAGTTAACAAAACCTTCTGTTGGCATAGGCTACACAGATAAATGCATGTCATTTCTATGCACCGCCTAGGCATTTCATCACTTCATCATTGTAAGCAATAAATACAAGATAATTTTAAGCCAGAAACAAAAGCATCCGTTACGTTAAACAAACTCGGCAACCTACAGGCATGAGAAGATAGTGAAATATAGCGTCAAAGATGTATTTGAATTTGTAGACAAAATCAAAGATATCAACATCAAGGACAAAACCATGATATCTTGGGACATAACATCTTTATTCACAAATGTACCTCTAGTAGAAACAGTTAACTACATATGCCAATAAGTGGATAACCAGTCGATAAACACTGGCATCCATACTGAAATCCTAAAAGAATTGTTATTAGGGTGCACCATGAATGTAAATTACAAATTTGACTGCACGCTTTACAGGCAAGTGGATGGGGTGGCGATGGACTCCAAATTGGATGACTTTTCTCTAAGTAAATTAGAAAATGGACCTTTGAACAACCTTATCAGAAAGTTCTCATTTTATTGCCGGTATATGGATGACATCTTCATTCTATGTGATAATCATTCGGATAGGAGTACAATAATTACTGAATTCAATGAAGTACATTCGGCTATGAAATTCACGTGTGCAATTCAAGGGCGATATACCAAGTGAAATAATTACGAGGAAATTAAGAAAATCAGTTCAAAGAACTTTTAATGCTGGCGAACCACATGTCTTATTCTCTACACCACCAATGGTGGTGATTCCCCAACTGGAAAATGAAGTACCTTTACTAGCCACTTCTAATTGTATCTACCAATTCAACTGCTCTCCTGTGGTGGAGCGAGTTATATCCGCTTTTGCTCTAGGAACTTGATTTTTCGTGCTCACTCGAGAACATCTCCCACTATGGTTAAGTAAAGGTGTAAATAAAACCATTAACGGTTCGCTATTAGACCATCTGGTGCAAACAGGCCACAAAGCCAGTGTTGAAGAATCCTTCTCTATCATCTACCGGGTGCCAAATAAATTGCCAAAAACATCGAAGCACCAAACAGCAGAGGCTATTGCAATTCGTGTGAAACAACCAGTGCTCTGTGTGCAAAAGAAGCAAGTCCAGCCAGCCACTACTGCTGCCCTGACTGGCCTTCAGTAGAGACTATAAATACATGATATTTGTAATATTATCTTTCTTAATTTTTCTGACATTCAGCTTATTGTTATGTTGGTGCTATCGAACTGTAATCCGCTGATATTATTATTATTGATTCGATGTTATTCAGAGATTAATGTTGTTCATAACACTAATTCATTCACTATAATATATGTATAAATGTAGAGTCTGATGATGAAGTTATCGAAAAAGTGAATATTCTTTGTTCATTAGCCATTCTTTTGAAGAACCAAAAGGTTGGCAGAGGAGACGGGAGGCAATGAAGACAGGACTTCAAGTGAACATAAAAAAGATGGTGATGAAGATACCTACCTACCTAACCAACCGATAATAATAGAAGCACTAATCACTATCGAATGTAGACATTTGAAAGAAGTCAACTCATCCTCCTTTCACTTATATCTAGGGCAGAATCGTTTCAACTACAACAAGGGAAAATACGGATGAGGATGTCAAAACCAGACATGATGGTGTGGTGAGAGCTGACTGCTAGCCAAAATCGGTAGACAGTAATTTACGTCAATGTGTACGTCTCCAATATTGGTCATGAGAAAAAAACAAGAACAAAGACTGACTCAACAACCAATCACAGCAGACTTTGCGTAGGCGGATACAATTTGTAGATGGATAATCTGAACTTCAAGAAACGGCCACAAAGAGATGGAAGATTAACGTTCAGCGAGAAACCACCAATCAGAAGACTGTGTCTGTCTGCTAACAATCTATAATACTGTACATGAAAATCTATAAATATTTGTTGATTTCCTAAATATAAACGATCTGTTACCTGGCCCTGCTTCCATTTCCGTCTTCCTATATTTCTGCCCTTATTGGTTTACTTTTCTTTTTCTCTTGATATATCAACGTGAAGTGTTTCAATCTATTGATGGTCGGTATAATTGACCTTTGTGCGTCGGTGGCACAGTGGTTAGGACTCTCGCCGACCATGCACATGGTCCGGGGTTCGATCCCCTGCCGGCGCACACCCGATATCTATGGTCGGCCTGCAAAATTGGGCTACCGATATCACATGCTAAAAATTCCATTCTTGTACCAAAAATACGGTGTGGAATCAAGCTATAATAAATAAATAAATAAAATAAAACAGATTTCCACATTTCTTATTGTTTCTATTTGATCTTAACGGGTTGATAAAATGTAGAAATGACAGTATGAAATGGTTACTGTATTCTCAATTTTATTTTTGTACATAACAGAAATTCGTTATGACAGTTCTGTGTTATTTTGGTTACTCAACAAATAGTAATAATCATGTGAGCAATACTGTTTACTGGTAAGTATTAATTACTGGGGCTGGAGGATTGTGTTAAACATTACTGTAATTGACTTACATTTTTGTATCGTTCATCTCTCTCTTTTTTTACACTTGCGACAGCCCCGGAAATTGTCAACTTCGATCCTATTACTTTTGCTATAGATATGTGGGCTATTGGGGTATTAACGTATATTTTGTAAGTTTATCATTTAACTTCATATACTAACTTGCTATTATTTTGGTTGTGTTATTGTTATCATTAAGATTTATCGATAGTTTCTGTAATTCCTATTTATTAGTGATAATGATCACCAGTAATAATGTTATTCAATTATTTGTTTTTGTCTCTTAGCACTTGAAAGTATCCTTTATGTCTGATATTTTTAAAATTATAATCTTTTATTTTGCTATAGTAGTCGAACACCATGAATTTACTATTTAAAAAATCAACATGAAAGTGAATTGCATAACATACTCGTATCACTTAAATTTTTGCGGTTACATTGATTAGAGGACTATCTTCTCTTGACTGCAGTTAAGGCTTTAGATAGAGCTATAAGTGATTATGATCCAGCGACTAATTTTCACTGTTAATTTAATTTACGTTATTTTGTGAAGACTACAACGCATTTACGATTCAGACATTTTAAATTAAACTCGTATTCATTTAATGTTTATTGCACACTCATAACATAAGTACACAATTGTACTGGTAAGTATATACCTACTAAAAACTCATATATAGATTAAGAAAATTAAACGGATAAATGTGGTTATAAACCTATGCCAATTTAGGTAGGTGGAATATGGCTTTACACACTGCGGATAAGTTTACCGTGGCGTGTGGTGAAATCTGTATCAGCAAGTGATTGGATTTGAAGAAAGCTAAGAGTAGTTTCTCCTTCATGAATAAATACACTTGTTTAATTTATTTTTTAAATTATTCATGATTAAATTGTTTCTTTCCTGCTTTGTGTACTACATAGAGTGTGGCAACTTGAACTGCCGCACCTATGTGCAAAGTTCTGTCTAAAACAGACAGACAAACAGACAAATTGTTCAATAGAAGCAAAAGACAATCACATTTCTTCTTCCATTCTGCCTTTGAGAATAGGATAAAAGTGTTATAAAAGATATGAACAGATCTAACTTGTTTGGTATGGGGTTTAACATAATACACATAAGGTAAAGTACAAACCAATGGTGTGATAGAGACATAAAACCTCAAAATTATAATAAGATATATGCACAATAACCGAGATTGTTCACAATTTCAGACCGACAGTCTTTTGTTGAACTTTAAAAGGTCAAGAGGGAGTTGCAGTACTGAATCATAGTAATGCTTAATACCATTATATAGTACAAAGAAGAATGAAGAATAAAGACCAGAATTCATATTCAGTTAAATAATAAAGTAGCACTATCAAGTTGTAAGAACACTGATAAAAAATATAACTTGATGTAACTAAATATTTCAGCTTCTAGTAGCATGGTTATTAGGAGGAATCAAATCACCACCTCCAACTAACTGAGCAATTCCACGTCTATCAACTACTTCTATTGCAGGAGTGAAGACCTTATTCATCACTAACTCAGCTGAATGGTCTATAGCATTGGCTAATTCCGGCGCTTGACCAGTATAACTTAAAAACAACCAGGTAAACAATGTTATTAAAGCAGTGTAGAACGGCATAGTCAGAATATTTGAAATCACTGATAAGCCAATGAACTCAAATATTCCTGTGACAACATAGAAAAGCAGTAAGATGACAACCAAGACGGTTGGAGTACGAAACGTTTGAAATATGTTCTTTTTAGAATTCGCTAAGCGGAAGTCTTCTCCCATTTGCGTTATTGTTTCCTTTAAGCGATGCAAATACTCTTCAGAAAATGCTTCACCACCCATTTTAGGGCAACTATTGAACTTCTCAATACAATTATTATATATTTTCAAATGCAATGCTTCTAGTTCATTTGGGTTGATGTACGGTCGGTCTGGTCCACATATCTTGTTCATCACCTCTGTGTACATTTCTTGACAAGATATGTCACCAGTGGCAGTCAAAGCCCTAATGCAGTGGGAACTAATTTCCTCCAGGGTCATGACAGTAAGATTCAACTCCGAAGGAAGGAAGGTAACAATTATCCGACGCTATGCACAGTGCTACAAACAACGCGGAACAAGAGAAGAAGAAGGATTTTTACAGACAACTACAAACAGTATTAATATATGTATAAAACTTGGGCACTGTGGTAGTAAGTAATTCCATATTAGTTTGTTTATTTGATATATCACACAGTGAAACAGTATTATTTACTGGATGACGTTTCGAACAAAACTCAAGTGTCAAAGTCGTATGATTATAATTGATATGATTATGAACAATAAATTTTGTTCGAAACGTCATCCAGTAAATAATACTGTTTCACTGTGTGATATATCAAATAAACAAACTAATATGGAATTAACTACAAACAGTAATGGACAACATCCAGAATGGAGACATCAAAACCCTCATGGGCGATATGAATCCCAAACTGGGACCTGATAACACAGGAAGCGAACTCATCATGGATCGAAAGGCTCTCGGAGAAATGAATGAGAACGGGGAATTATTCGCAGACTTCTGCTCTTTCAACGATTTGGTGATCGGAGGGAGCGTGTACAAACACAAGGATATACACAAAGCAACGTGGATTTGGCCTGACGGACATACCACAAACCAAATAGATTTCATCTCGATCTCAAGGAAGTGGAGACGCAGCTAACCTGCTGGATACAAAGTCGAAAAGGGGAGCTGATGTGGGCTCAGACCATCATCTAGTCCAAGGAACTTTCAAGGTGAAGCTGAAATCCATGAAAACAAATGGACACAGACCACAACTCAAGTTCAACATTCAGAAACTGAAGGACAAAACTACAATGGATGCCTCCGCTACAGATCAGATCAGAGCAAAGTCGGAGACACTACGTGGCATCACTGAGGAAATCTGTGTGGAAGAGCATTGGAACTCTCTAAAAGGTATATTCAAGGAAACGTGTACAACTGTTCTGGGAAGAAGCAAGAGACAAGACAAGGAATGGCTGTCAACGGATACCTGGAAGCTTGTCGAGGAGAGGAGGATGGTGAAAGAGATGACCCAATGCAAAGATGGACAACAGAAGGAGAAGCTGAGTTCAATGTACACTGCACTAAATAAAGAAGTGAAGAAGAGTGCTAGAAAAGACAAACGATTATTGTACGACACACTTGCAGCTGAAGCAGAACAGGCCACAGGAAAAAGAGACAACAGGACACTATCAGATAACCAAGTCGCTACCAGGGAAGAGATCAACCCAGGTGACGAAACCAGTAAAAGATGCTCAAGGGAACCTGATCACCAAGGAGGAGAGACAAATCAAACAATGGGCTGATCACTTTAAAGGACTCTTGAATCAACCACCACCGGCAACTCGCCCAGAAATACCACCAACAGCACGCACAGAACTGCCGGTGGACACCACTCCTCCAACGAAAGAAGAAATCGTGAATGCGATCAAGCTACTGAACACCGACCGGGAAGGCAGCAGAACCAAACGGAATTCCCCCTGAAGCACTGAAACCGAGCCCACAGACTGCGGCAGATATGCTGTTACCATTATTGCAAAACGTTGGAAGGAAGGAATGGTGCCTACTGATTGGAAGAAAGGCTGCCTCGTCAAGCTGCCAAAGAAGGGCGACTTAGGCCTCCTCAGAAAGTGTCGTGGAATCACTCTCTTTTCCACTTCAAGTAAAATACTAAGTCGCGTCATTCTGGAGAGGATAAAAGACGCACTGGATACAGAACTCCACCAACCCGAAACAAGCTGGATTCAGAAACAGTAAATCATGTGCTGATAAAATTGCAACTCTACGCATCATCATCACAGAAAAAAGCACAGAATGGCAGTCAGACCTCTACCTCAACTTCATCAAATTCGGAAAGGCTTTCAACAGCATTGACTGAAAAGTCATTTGGAAACTGCTTCAACACTATGGTATGCAGTGCCCAAATCTTCATCAACCTCGTTCAACAACTATACGACAGTGCCACGTGCCAGGTGATCCACAACGGAAAGCTCAGCGAGTCGTTCGAAGTGAATAGAAGAGTAAAACAAGGCTGTCTATTATCATCACTGATATCAATAATTGTGGTGGACTGGATTATACGTCAGACTGTGTGTCGTAGCAAGGAGACAGGAATACTCTGGACTACCGATAAGAAGACTCTAGAAGATCTGGACTTCGTGGATGATTTATGTCCAATTTCGCACACAATCGAGATCTACAGGCAAAAGCCAACAAGTTGACAGAAGAAGCAGCGAAGACAGGACTTCAGGTGAACATAGCGAAGACGGAGGTGATGAAGATAACCGACAAGCAGCAACAACAATAAACAGCACCAATAACCATCAACGGGAGAGATTTAACAGAGGTTACCTCCTTCAATTATCTAGGAAGCACGGTTTCAACCACAGGCAGGATGGATGAAGATGTCAAAGGCAGAATCAGATAGGCAAGATAAACCTTCATTAATCTGAAATCACTATAGAAATCCTCTGTACCCTGTGACATTAAGAATGAATTTCGGATTTTCATTACCCACATCAAGTCAGTTCTTCTATGTGCTTTAGAAACTTATTGCGTGACGAAAAACATTTTCAACACGTTGCAGACTTTAATCAACGGTTGCCTACGCTGGCTCCATATTGAAGATTAAATGGCCGGCCAAAAAGAACTAGCAACAGGAAACTATGGGAACAAACTAACCAAGAACCAATCGTTCATCATATAAGCAGGGGAAAATGGAGATGGATAGGGCACACACTGAGGAAACCGTCGAATGACATCGCGCGCCAAGACAACGCTCGAATGGACGCCGAACGGGAAGCGACGAGTGAGGCGTCCGCAATTGACATTGAGGAGATCGCGTGAGAAGAAGATGAGAGATTATGGTCAGTCGTGGGGCCAGCTAGAGAGGACATCAGAAAGAATAACAAAGTGGCGATGTGTTGTTGAAGCCCTATGTTCCACTCAGAACCTAAGGGAACAATAATAATAATAAGAGTACAAAAAATATGTCAGCACAAATGGAATAGAAGTGGATTCTCAAATTGGTCAGCTGGAGAGTCAGTGACCTATTTCGGTGATAGGGAAAACAACCACGAGTCACCAGTAGCACTGAAGGCTATTTCTTATGCAGCGGGAAGCAATCTTCTCTAAGGACATGATAAAATGGTTTAACTCAAAATTATGAGCAACAAGGAACTCTGGGAACGAATCAGTTCAGAACCCATTTACCCTGAAAATATACGGAAGAAAATGGAAATGGACTGAACATATGGTGAGGAAACCGTTGACTGATATCACATGCTAGGTCACCAGGTCTAACCACAGTGGGGAGAGATAAGTTAGGCGTACGACGGTAATGTGTAAGAGATCATGTGAAGAGGAAATGGAAGCTTGTGGATAGTCGTGAAACCAAATGAAAATGACAACAGATAATGGAGTACAATAGAGATGTGTGGCCGAAGCCTAATGTCCCACTTGGAACATATATATTTTGCTGAGGTAAATACTTAAAGTGAATCTAGTTCTAATAAAAACGGGGATCTGCTTCAAAAACGGGTGTTACAAATACCTGCTTGGCTTATGGTGGTTGTAAACACTTTACTATAACAGTTAATTAGTTGTTTCCTTCACACTGCTTTTAAGACTCGTCCACACATTTTTCTGATGCATCAAACAAATTACTCTTATTTAATTTATTTTTTAAATTATTCATGATTAAATTGTTTCTTTCCTGCTTTGTGTACTACATAGAGTGTGGCAACTTGAACTGCCGCACCTATGTGCAAAGTTCTGTCTAAAACAGACAGACAAACAGACAAATTGTTCAATAGAAGCAAAAGACAATCACATTTCTTCTTCCATTCTGCCTTTGAGAATAGGATAAAAGTGTTATAAAAGATATGAACAGATCTAACTTGTTTGGTATGGGGTTTAACATAATACACATAAGGTAAAGTACAAACCAATGGTGTGATAGAGACATAAAACCTCAAAATTATAATAAGATATATGCACAATAACCGAGATTGTTCACAATTTCAGACCGACAGTCTTTTGTTGAACTTTAAAAGGTCAAGAGGGAGTTGCAGTACTGAATCATAGTAATGCTTAATACCATTATATAGTACAAAGAAGAATGAAGAATAAAGACCAGAATTCATATTCAGTTAAATAATAAAGTAGCACTATCAAGTTGTAAGAACACTGATAAAAAATATAACTTGATGTAACTAAATATTTCAGCTTCTAGTAGCATGGTTATTAGGAGGAATCAAATCACCACCTCCAACTAACTGAGCAATTCCACGTCTATCAACTACTTCTATTGCAGGAGTGAAGACCTTATTCATCACTAACTCAGCTGAATGGTCTATAGCATTGGCTAATTCCGGCGCTTGACCAGTATAACTTAAAAACAACCAGGTAAACAATGTTATTAAAGCAGTGTAGAACGGCATAGTCAGAATATTTGAAATCACTGATAAGCCAATGAACTCAAATATTCCTGTGACAACATAGAAAAGCAGTAAGATGACAACCAAGACGGTTGGAGTACGAAACGTTTGAAATATGTTCTTTTTAGAATTCGCTAAGCGGAAGTCTTCTCCCATTTGCGTTATTGTTTCCTTTAAGCGATGCAAATACTCTTCAGAAAATGCTTCACCACCCATTTTAGGGCAACTATTGAACTTCTCAATACAATTATTATATATTTTCAAATGCAATGCTTCTAGTTCATTTGGGTTGATGTACGGTCGGTCCCTACCTTCAGGGGAAGAGGTTGTCGTTTTATTAATGGATACACAAGGTTCTTTTGATAGCACTAGTACTGTGTGTCATTGTGCCACAGTTTTCGCTCTGAGTACAATGTTGAGCAGTATCCAAGTTTACAATATACATGGTAATATCCAAGAAGATCACCTCCAACATCTTCATCTGTTCACTGAATATGGTCGGTTAGCATTAGAGTCAGAAGTTTCTGGGTCTCCATTTCAGCATCTGTTGTTTCTTGTTCGTGACTGGAGTTATCCTTACGAATATAATTTTGGAAAAGATGGTGGTAATCAGTTGCTCGATAACCGTCTCAAGATTGTTCAACAACACCACACAGAGCATCAAACTGTTCGTTGGCATATTCGATCGTGTTTCTCTCAGGTGGATTGTTTTCTAATGCCTCATCCTGGTCTTAAAGTTTCAACTAATCCGAAGTTTGACGGGCGAGTGAAAGACATTGATCCCAGTTTCGTTGAAAATCTCATAGTTCTGGTCCCTGATCTCTTAGCTCCAGTCAATTTAGTTGTCAAAAAAATAAATGGCCAGGAAGTTACGTGCCGTGAATTATTTACTTATTTCAAAGCATACATAAAGGTTTAAGAGAGTGATACTCTTCCAGAACCACGTTCAATGTTGGAGGCGACTGCAGAAGCAAATAATTTAAATGCAATATTAGCTTGTCAAGAAATGTACACAGAGGCGATGAACAAGATATGTGGACCGGTTGGTCTGGTGTACATTTCTTGACAAGCTAATATTGCATTTAAATTATTTGCTTCTGCAGTCGCCTCCAACATTGAACGTGGTTCTGGAAGAGTATCACTCTCTTAAACCTTTATGTATGCTTTGAAATAAGTAAATAATTCACGGCACGTAACTTCCTGGCCATTTATTTTTTTGACAACTAAATTGACTGGAGCTAAGAGATCAGGGACCAGAACTATGAGATTTTCAACGAAACTGGGATCAATGTCTTTCACTCGCCCGTCAAACTTCGGATTAGTTGAAACTTTAAGACCAGGATGAGGCATTAGAAAACAATCCACCTGAGAGAAACACGATCGAATATGCCAACGAACAGTTTGATGCTCTGTGTGGTGTTGTTGAACAATCTTGAGACGGTTATCGAGCAACTGATTACCACCATCTTTTCCAAAATTATATTCGTAAGGATAACTCCAGTCACGAACAAGAAACAACAGATGCTGAAATGGAGACCCAGAAACTTCTGACTCTAATGCTAACCGACCATATTCAGTGAACAGATGAAGATGTTGGAGGTGATCTTCTTGGATATTACCATGTATATTGTAAACTTGGATACTGCTCAACATTGTACTCAGAGCGAAAACTGTGGCACAATGACACACAGTACTAGTGCTATCAAAAGAACCTTGTGTATCCATTAATAAAACGACAACCTCTTCCCCTGAAGGTAGGGACCGACCGTACATCAACCCAAATGAACTAGAAGCATTGCATTTGAAAATATATAATAATTGTATTGAGAAGTTCAATAGTTGCCCTAAAATGGGTGGTGAAGCATTTTCTGAAGAGTATTTGCATCGCTTAAAGGAAACAATAACGCAAATGGGAGAAGACTTCCGCTTAGCGAATTCTAAAAAGAACATATTTCAAACGTTTCGTACTCCAACCGTCTTGGTTGTCATCTTACTGCTTTTCTATGTTGTCACAGGAATATTTGAGTTCATTGGCTTATCAGTGATTTCAAATATTCTGACTATGCCGTTCTACACTGCTTTAATAACATTGTTTACCTGGTTGTTTTTAAGTTATACTGGTCAAGCGCCGGAATTAGCCAATGCTATAGACCATTCAGCTGAGTTAGTGATGAATAAGGTCTTCACTCCTGCAATAGAAGTAGTTGATAGACGTGGAATTGCTCAGTTAGTTGGAGGTGGTGATTTGATTCCTCCTAATAACCATGCTACTAGAAGCTGAAATATTTAGTTACATCAAGTTATATTTTTTATCAGTGTTCTTACAACTTGATAGTGCTACTTTATTATTTAACTGAATATGAATTCTGGTCTTTATTCTTCATTCTTCTTTGTACTATATAATGGTATTAAGCATTACTATGATTCAGTACTGCAACTCCCTCTTGACCTTTTAAAGTTCAACAAAAGACTGTCGGTCTGAAATTGTGAACAATCTCGGTTATTGTGCATATATCTTATTATAATTTTAAGGTTTTATGTCTCTATCACACCATTGGTTTGTACTTTACCTTATGTGTATTATGTTAAACCCCATACCAAACAAGTTAGATCTGTTCATATCTTTTATAACACTTTTATCCTATTCTCAAAGGCAGAATGGAAGAAGAAATGTGATTGTCTTTTGCTTCTATTGAACAATTTGTCTGTTTGTCTGTCTGTTTTAGACAGAACTTTGCACATAGGTGCGGCAGTTCAAGTTGCCACACTCTATGTAGTACACAAAGCAGGAAAGAAACAATTTAATCATGAATAATTTAAAAAATAAATTAAACAAGTGTATTTATTCATGAAGGAGAAACTACTCTTAGCTTTCTTCAAATCCAATCACTTGCTGATACAGATTTCACCACACGCCACGGTAAACTTATCCGCAGTGTGTAAAGCCATATTCCACCTACCTAAATTGGCATAGGTTTATAACCACATTTATCCGTTTAATTTTCTTAATCTATATATGAGTTTTTAGTAGGTATATACTTACCAGTACAATTGTGTACTTATGTTATGAGTGTGCAATAAACATTAAATGAATACGAGTTTAATTTAAAATGTCTGAATCGTAAATGCGTTGTAGTCTTCACAAAATAACGTAAATTAAATTAACAGTGAAAATTAGTCGCTGGATCATAATCACTTATAGCTCTATCTAAAGCCTTAACTGCAGTCAAGAGAAGATAGTCCTCTAATCAATGTAACCGCAAAAATTTAAGTGATACGAGTATGTTATGCAATTCACTTTCATGTTGATTTTTTAAATAGTAAATTCATGGTGTTCGACTACTATAGCAAAATAAAAGATTATAATTTTAAAAATATCAGACATAAAGGATACTTTCAAGTGCTAAGAGACAAAAACAAATAATTGAATAACATTATTACTGGTGATCATTATCACTAATAAATAGGAATTACAGAAACTATCGATAAATCTTAATGATAACAATAACACAACCAAAATAATAGCAAGTTAGTATATGAAGTTAAATGATAAACTTACAAAATATACGTTAATACCCCAATAGCCCACATATCTATAGCAAAAGTAATAGGATCGAAGTTGACAATTTCCGGGGCTGTCACAAGTGTAAAAAAAGAGAGAGATGAACGATACAAAAATGTAAAAAAAGAAGACATTCAGCGAAGAGACTCTTTTCGGCGAATTCATTCACATAGCTGTACAATCGCATATATATATAAATATTTGTGTGTGTGTACATGACTTTTGTCAAGTTTAGATAGTTGATTAGTTAATACAAGTATGATGTAGTATAGAGACAAAGTTAATCAGACAGCAACTAAAGTAAGATTGAGTTAAAAAGCTAGATGACGTAATATAATTAGCCACTTCACTACTTTTATTAATCTATGAGCCGCCACATTCCAATCCTGTGTCAGAGAACTTTTAAAAATTGCGAAGCACATACCAGTTACATATAGATGAAATGTGACGGTTGACGAGAGCCGTGTACAGACATACACTCCGTATGCATCAAGTCACAATGAATTCCACAGATGACAATAGTCACACCCTCCGACCTTGACGCAACTTTCACTAGCACGACTGGTCACCATTTTCGTGACAATAGATCTCTTTGGTAAGTACTGTAAAGAGGCATTTGAAAGAACGTACTTTTCACCAAGTGAAAAGACATCAGTACATTCACCGTGTGAACCCATGTTTGCTACAACCCACTAGATCCATTAATTTACTTTAAAAAATGGACACTGAAAAACATTGTAAACTTAGGCTTATAAATCTATCCCTAAGACAATGGCTGACAACCCAGCACTTACCAGTGTTTATTTCACAAGGTTGAGACGGCAGGGGAAGTCGACCCAAACTTATCTTAAACAACGTGAAAAGACAAACTTTCCCAATCCGGGCAGAAAAGTCTATGGAATGAATGAATGCTAACCAATGGATATACATTGAATAAGTTTGACCAGAAATCTCTATCCAACTTCATGATACACTACTGAAAACATCAGTGTACTAAAACACCCATCCTGACATTAATAAACTCAGGTACTCTAGTGACTTGACATTTTCTGAGCAAGTGGCGACACAGACGCGTAAATCGAGGATGCTTTTAGGATGCATACTCAGGAATTTCCACAGCTACGAAGCAAAACTATTATTATATAAAACTTGTGTCAGACCACTACTTGAATATTGTCCATTTATTCTCAGCAGCACTCGCGTAAGTGACAAACTTAAAATAGAAAGTGTCCAACGATATTTCACGTCTAAACTACTAGGATTTGACTGCCAAAAGGACTACACATCAAGGTGTATAACTCTAGGTATCGACCAACTCTGGATGAGACGACTGAGCATTAACCTAACATTCTTCTTTAAAGTCTTGCATAAAATATCATTCTCAGACAGTAAGGAGATACAGTTCTCACCGGAAGGCTCTTACAACCTTCGCAACCAAACGTGCACAGTATCTAGGAAAAACTGTAAGACAGCACTCCGTGGAAACTTTTTCATAGTCATGTACTCTAAGATCTGGAACAGTTTACCCCTAGAAATAAGGACCTGTCACTCTATCATAACCTTCAAACGCTTGCTATATGAACTGCTTCATCCAAATGACTATGCCAATCACACCGCACCACTTATTTCTAAAACGCATGAGCTATTAGAACACTATAACGCCTAGACTCATTACTAAATATTATGACACTAAATAAACTCTAAGACTTCGCAAAAATACATGAAAGAACAACTAGATTATAGGTAATGTTTACTATACAATGATATACATTTATAAACATTTATATATACGTAAAATATTAATGTTCTTTCCATAATTACATACTTTATCTTTCTGCTATTCTGCTGCTGAGCGTACTCTTCTATATACCCCCTGGTCGAGGTCGAACAACCCAACATCTAAACTGAAATGACCATTTAAGTAAATTCAAACTCAAATTCCATGAACGATCCGATGCAACCACTTGAAAACGCTGGCCAACATTCTGTACAAGGAGTATTCTTGATCTGATATAAAGAAACAACTGGTTTTCAAACAGTTTTCAATGTATTACTCAACTTACATGTACAGTCTGCCATGCTGACGCAAATGGCGCAAATGGATAGAATCGACCTCGGCCCCATTTAATGCAGTAAAACAATCTGACATGAACTTATCTAATTTTCGTATCAAAGATCAAATTTCTTTCCTATTATAAAACTACGATTAGACTGGTGAAAAAATGGAATAAATACATTATTGACTCAGAATAATGCATCAATAAACTTTAACTCAAGGATGCTGTTCACAACAAAGTTATATAGGAGAATTGACTTCAAGCTTTATTTTTCCCAGATATTTGTATTACATTCATCTG